GGTAAAGCAGGGTTATGGTGTTACTAAAATATTTCCTATCTCTGCTTATTTTCTGCCTGGCTGACGTCATAGGCAGATGTGTCTTCACAATTGTAGATATTTAATATCTGCTTATTCAGGATTTTGCTTTACACATTCTCAGACCTCTATCAAAACCTATTTTCTGATGACTCAAAGGCTCCTCACTGTTTTGTCTCACTAGGATGTTTCTTTTATCAATTAAAATGTCTGTTTTGGTCTCAATACTTTCTTCCTGGACCTTTATTTATCTGATGGAAATATTAACATTTCAGTTTTATTAATTTGCACAGCACCTTTTTTAGTCTTTGTTTTCAGCCTTACTGTATTTTTGTTGTTGTGTGGGTGCCTTTTGTTGATTACATTTAACTGATGTCTTTTATTTTCCTCTCAACTGTGTCTGTTTCTCTTTTAATGCACTAACAGCCCAAACATATTTTGATTATTTGGCTGGTTCTTGGCTCAGTTCTGTAAATTTATTCTGTATTTTCTGTGCTTGACATTTTAGAAAAATGTCCTGTTGTACTGATTAAGGTTCTCCCCCATCCCAATCTGGTTTTGAAGTTAATGTAATCACTTTCTGTTCTAATAACTGTCTTGATGCAGATTGTTTATGCTTTTTTAATTAATTTTTTTTTAATTTTTTCCTTTTCTTGTATGCTGTCAAATCAGATCTGACTGGCAGAGGAGATTGCCTTTCCTTCTCCAGCAGAGCATCTGGAGGAACCCTGCATCTTAGAGATTGCAGTGCAGTTTCTTTGCCACTAGGCCACCAGAACTCCCTTGTTTATGCTTCTTATAGAAAGTCTCCAGTTACTTAGTATTTTTATCCTTACCTCCAGCCATTGCCCCCTGGAGTTTAGTTTGTAACTTTTTGTAACTTGACAGTTGCTGTTTTCTGTTTTCCTGGTACAGTGGGGGTGGTGGCTCCGCCAGCTTGATTTCACCTTGTCTGTCAGTGTATGTCTTCAGCAGTGCATAGCCTCCCACCCTGGCTGCCCGTCTGTGGTCCTGCTACTGGGCATCTTCTGCTCGAGACCCCGGGCCCTGCCTGCTGCCTGTTCCTTTCTTTGGATTGAGCGTGCATATTTCTCTCATTTCCTCATCTCATCATTAGCTAAGGCTAGGCATGATGGGAAACACCCTGGTGGTGCGGTGGATAAGTGTTCAGCTGCTAATAGGTTGGTGACTTGGAACCATAGATGTGAACCAGCAGCTGTTCTGAGGGGAAAAGGTTTGGCTGCCTGCTTCTAGACTATTTCATCCTTGCCACCCTGTTGGGCAAGTTTACACTCTTATTATATCGGGTCTCTGTGAGTTGCATTTAACTGGAAGACAGGTTTGTGGATTTTTTGGTTTTTCTTAAGAGACCTAACCAGTGGGGTGCTGGTTGAAGGACACTGACGGGCAGGATTTTGCTAAATATTTTTTGTTAAAGGTGGTGGTAAACAGCATTTGGATATTACACAAAGACATTTCAGCTCTGACTTTTCTCTTAACCACAGTTTTGGAGACTTTTGAGGATGACAAGTTTTGCCTTTTACTGCTTCCAAAAGAGGCTTGTTTGTCCACATTTGTTACTTCCCCTGGGGCAAGACACTCTGAAAACTCTAATTTGAAGGTTTGCCAGAGGCACTGCAACAGGTTGAACCTGAAAAATGCATTGTAGGTAGGGCCAGTTCCTTTCCAGAAATATGTGCATGTTCCGACCTTCAAACCAGAAGGTACATCAGTTTATTCAAGTTCTCCTGGAGCCTGAAAGCAGAGTACAGGTCAGCTGAGAAGGATGGTGGAAGATGACCAGGGGACGCCAGGGACATGATAAGTAACAAGGGCTTCCAGCCACTTTGATCTGGTTCAGTCATGGCTGATGAAGTAAACTCAAAACAGATTCAAATTTTAAGAATTCAGGTGAACACAGGTTGAAGCCCCAAGAATGATGGTCCTGGAGTAGGCCGTAGTAATACCCATCACGAAAATAAAGATTCTCACCACTGGGCTGATTGGCAGCATCATGATAGATGTTGAAGAGGTGGAGATTGTTAAGTTTGCTTGGCTCCTTAATCAACAACAGTCTTGGTACTAGTAGCCAGGAAATCAAAAGATGAATTGCTCTGGGAAGATCTGCTGTGAGGGACTTCTCCGGAGTATTGAAGAACAGCAGTGTCAGTCTGGAGAACAAGGTGCACCTGATCCAGGTCCTAGTCTTCACAATTACTTGCTCTGCACCAGAGAACTGGATAATGACTAGGGATGATAGAAGGAGAATTGATGCCTTTGAACTGTGGTGCTGGAGAAGAGTTTTGGATAATTGGATACACCATGGACTACTAGGAGAACAAAAAGGTTCATCGTGGAGAGGGTGAAACCAGGCTGCTCCTTGGAGACAAGGATTCTGAAGCTCCATCTGCCATGCTTTGGGTGTGTTGCAAGGAGAGACCAGTCCTTGGAGAGGAACATCTTGCTTGGAAAGGTGGAGGGAACAGCACAGGAGAGGACGGCCCTCAAAAGAGATGGATGGACTGAGTCAATGGGGGTAGGTCTGTGAGAGACAGTGAGATTGGCTCAAGATTGAGCAGGGTTCAGAGCTGTTGTACATGGCGTTGCTATGAGTCACAAGAGACTGACGTCACATAACAACAGTAACCCTTTCAGGATCCTGATTTGAGAAACTAGATTATTGCCGGGGAGGAAGGCCTATGTTTAGAGCAGTACAATCAGCCCCCATGTGCAAACCAGCATGCAGGGTCTAGCAGGACATCATTTTACCAGTTCAGTTATTGGCCCAGTTCACCGCAGTTTACAGACTGGGACCCATTTAGGCTTTGCTTTGTCAGCCATGACTGAACCAGGAAGGATGTTTGAAGCCCTGAGTGTAGCATCCACTTAGAGTTGAGGGGTTCTGTGATTGAGAGGTGAGGATTGACCCGCATTTTTTTTTTAATATGTGTGTGTGTGTGTGTGCGTGCGCGCGTGCGCATGTAGGGTCAAATTGGATCTGATTGGCATAGGAAGAGATTGCCCCTCCTTCTCCAATAGAGCATCTGGTGGATTCAGTGGAGTTACCGACTTCAAAGACTAATCTCTGTTATTGTAGGAGTGGCGTCTACTTTCTAAACAACCTGCCTCCGGAAACTCTTAGGAACTTTGATAAATGTCGATAGTTGTAGAGGGGCGTCAGGCCTTTTGTTCATAGGGTCTCTGTGAGACGGGTTTGACTGCGCAAAGGCAGTCAACAACAACAATGATTTTAAGTAGCTTAATAATTCATTAAAATAATGCTCTTTTAGATATTAACAGGAAGAGAATGGATAGATAAGGAAGTAGGACATTGGAAAAAGTGTATAGAGAAAGTAATTCAGAAAAGATGGAACAGTAAGACAGAAATAATGCAGCTAACAAGTTGACACAGGGCCTATGTGAGAAACTTAAGGAGTAAATCTGTATAAATGACTGAATGGAAATCCAAGTTCTATGTCAACTCCTACAGAGATCACAGTAAAAAGACTAAACTCTAGCATATTTAACCATTGAGTTGTAGGCTTTTGGTGGAAAATAAAAGGTTAAAGACCTGACAGTACTCCTTGGAGGAAGAGCAGCCAGATGCCCCTCAAAGGCGAGGATGGTAAGACTTTGTATGATATGTTACCATGACATGTTATCAGGAGGGACCAGGCCTTGCAAGGCTTGGGAATTTGCTTGGGAAGATGCAGGGTCACAAAAGGAGAGGAAGACTTGGAGTGAGCTGGATAGGCACCATGGAGATTGTGAGGCCAATGCAAGATTAAGCAGAATTTCCTCTCTTCTAGTTAAAATTGCAGTGAGAAGGGTCGACTTGATAGCATCGAACCACTTTTCCTTTTACTGTTTCGAAAGCTCTTAAAAGGACTGGCAGTTGCTCTTTAATATGTATTGAGTGGGCTTATTAGAAAACATTTTCAACTTGGACTTTATACTCGTAGACTGAGGTATTTTCTTTTTTTACCATACCTTGTGTCATGTAGGCCAGATTTTTTTTTTAATTTTTTTTTTAGGCCAGATTTTTATATCTCAAAATGATTGCTGTGCAATAGTTTATGGGCTTTATCTGCTATGTAAATAATTGAAAGAAATCACCTGGACCTGAAGTTGTCTTTGTAATTAAAATTGGTTTTTAAATCAGAAGAACTATGAGAGATTATCCCACCCCAGCAATAAGAAAAAGTTCAACGGGCAGCAAACTGTACGTCCTGGCGAGATTGTGGAGAAGGATTGTAACTCTTAGTCACTGCTGGTGGAGTGTAAAATGGTAGAACCACTCTGGAAAGCAGTCTGGTGCTTTCTCAAAGAGTTGGAAATAGAAATAGCCTTTGGGTCAACAGTTCCACTACTGGGGATGTACCCTAACAAAACCAAAACTGTGACTCAAACAGATGTATGCACATTCATGTTTATTGTTGTGTTATTCGCAATAGCAAAGAGATGGAAGCAATCCAAATACCCATCAACAAATGCATGGGTACATACATTGTACATTCATAGAGTGGAATATTATGCAGCCTTGTAACATAGTGAACTCCTAAAATGTTATACAACATGGGGAACCTGGAGGACATTGTGCTCGGTAAAATATCAGTCACAAAAGGACGTATACTGAATAAAACTACGGTTAGAAAATGGGACTTGATGTGGAGGATTAGGAGGAGAATAGAACGAGTGGATAGATAGTGAATACTGCATTAGAAGAGCTGATGGGAAGAACTATCTGAAAGGAATATATATGATTAGACATTTTCAAACAACAATCTAGAACAAGAAGTGCTTTACAAAATGGACTAGGGGAGGGGGGCTTTGGAGGGGAGGGAAGAAAATGTGCAACAATGAATGGATAAAAATTTTTTAAAAGTTTATTTTCAGTACGCTTCTCTCCTTAGACTTCTCCAAGAATCACCTCACCTGTCAATATGATGTCAAGAAATAATTCAGAAGCATCTCTTTGTAAAATGGCAGAGCCGTTTAACTTTGAGAAAAATGAAAGCAAGCTTCCACTGCATGATTCGTTAAGAAGTCCAGGAGGACATCCTAACTTCAGGTTAAAAAGCCCAGAGAGTAGAAATAAAAAGAACAGTTTTTTGCTTTGTGGACAAACCAAGCCGTATCTGGCAAGTCAAGACGATACTTCCGTGCCTTCAAGCCCCGGTAGTCTCGATGGAGAAGGGGTTGGATCTAAAGGAGACAAGAAGACATTGCCAACAGGTGAGTGAGCACAGGAGGAAGGTGAAGCCTTACCTCCTGCTGCCGATGGGGTTTGGTGATAGCAAAAGTGTGTCTAACAGTGTGGTCCAGGGGCTCCTAAACGACAGGACAGCCCAGTGACCACAGAGACCACTTAACCACTGTTGACAAATAATAATTTAACCAGAAAAGTAGTATGTTAAGTGTCTTCTGTGCTCTTGGTAAATCACAGGAAGGATTCGCAGGGGGAGAAGAATCTGCGTTCCTGACTGTGACAGGCTCACTCTCTGATCTCCAGGAAATGCCTGATTTCCTGAATTGTCTGCTGATGACATTTTCCTCCATAAGATAACCAGACTAGGAATGTCGGACAGAAACCACTGGTTTTTGGATGTTGTAAGATGGGCTGTATTTTAAAGTTACAAGGGTGGGGGTTTTTGTGCGCTTTTTTCCTTCTCCCTATAAACTTGTTGCTGTGGGGTCAGTTCTGACTCGGAGCGATAAGGTAGGACAGAGAAGTGCCCCTCAGAGGCTCCCAGGCTGACGCCTTTAAGGAAGCTGACTGCTACTGGTCTTCCAAGGAGTGGCTAGTGGAGTGGAACTGCTGACCTTGGAGGTTGCAGCCTCGTGCTCAACCCCTGTGCACCAGGGCTGATTTATACGTAAAAATCCAGGACCCCAGTTTGAGTTTAGTTGAAGGCAATCTTTGATCGAGTTTCTGAGACTGTAAATCTTAAGGGGAGCGAGTTACCTTATCTTTCTTGAAGAGTGGCTGTTTGCTCAAACTTCCAGCCTACACTTAACCATCAGAGCTCCCTTTTAATGCATATGATCATAGATAATTGAGGACATTAATCAATTTTATTTGATTTTTTTTTAATTCCTTAATCCTAATTACAGGGTACACTTAGGGTATAGTGCATAGAAAGGTGTGCTGCTAAAACAAAGTGTCTCTTTGACTGTGGAAATGCACTGTGGATCTACAGGACAGAATGGTCTCCGACCATGCAGTTTACAGCCTCAGGAAGCCAGTGGTGGGCCGGCTTCATGTTGGGTCCAGCTCACTAGCATTGGGTTAACAAGTTAGTCCTAGTCGAGGGCCCTGCTTTAAGAATGGTCCTGGTAGAACATAGCCACTTGTTGTGGATCGGGAAAGAACTGCTTCCCTAATAATATTAAAAGACTCTGTGGGTTTTTTTCTGTGTTGAATTACAAGTCAAGCCAAACCAAGAACCATATAAACTACTAGTTTCAGCTCAGCTCAAAGCGGGACGCCAAACTGAGCCCACATTCTCTGACATTTTCACATTCTTTGACATTTTCACATGCTTATGGTTATTTGTTTTAAAAAAGATAAAGTGAAATTTTGCTTTAAAATACTTTTGATCAAGCGGTAAAAACTTATTAATTTTATTGAAATCTCAACTCTTGTTATGTGCAGTTGAGTAAGCATTGAGTCACAGCTGCCTTCCAGACAACTCTTCAGAGACTGTAAATTCCATGGGACCAAATTGCCCATCCTTCTCCTCTAGAACGTCTGGGGGATTTGAACTGTTGTCTTTGGGTTGGCCATGCAGCTCTTTACCCACTAGGCAGCCAGAGAGCTTCCTATACACTCCGGTATGGATAGACTTTAATAGTGAAAGTGATGGAATCACTTGGAGACAAGGATTCTGAATCTTCATCTGACATACTTACTTTGGACATGTTGCAAGGAGGGAACAGTCCTTGGAGAGGGAGGGACCTCATGCTTGGGAAGGTGGAGGGACAGCACATGAGGGGAAGACCCTCATTGAGATGGATTGATTAAATAACTGGGGTAATGGGATTAAGTATGTCAGAGACAGTAAGATTGGCACAGAATAGAAGAGGGTTTAGGGCTGTTGTGCGTATGGGTCTCTGTCAGTCGCAGGTGACTTGATGGCACATAACAACAGCAACAAGAAGTGATGGAATTGCAACAATGAATGAATGGAAACCCAAGATCTCTGTAAATGTTCATTAAAATTAATAAAATTTAATTTAAAAAAAAACAAGAAAAAGTGATGGAATGGGAGTTCCTTCTGCTGATCTCAGAAGTATGATAAAACCTTAAAGGGGAGAGAATGTGAGTGAGTGTGTGTGTGTGTGAGAGAGAGAGAAAGTAAGTGTGTGTGTGTGTGTGTGTGTGTGTGTGTGTGTGGTTAGCCATGCAGAATTGCTTACTTACCTGTGTTTCAAACGAATGATAAAAATTATGGTTATTTAGTTAGCCTGGGGTGGCAGGTAGGCATTTTCTTGAGGATGAACATTGTAAGCCTTTCATTTCAAGGGAAGGAGCTGAGCAGTGTTGTCAATGATAAAAATACGGGTTTTCAAACAAAATTAGAGATTCAGAAGACTTGTATCAACATTCTGATTTTGACACATCAGCATCCCAGCGACTAACACATGTGACTTTTTAAAATATATATAGTGAAATGTGCCAATGTTGGGAAGCTCTGTATAGCTCAGTGAACCCTCAGTTTTCCACTTAACAGTGCGAGATGTTGCATAGTCTTCCATGGGAAGAAATTAGTTCAAACGGCAAGATAGGCCAATAGGTTGAGTGTCCGAGTTCACTGGCTATTTTAGGTTACTCATTGCAACTAACCCTTAACGAAATTATGGCCTTTTGAGTTGTGGTGTTTGAGGTCAGGCATATGCCTACAGTTGTCTGAGGAGGCAAATATCCATGAAATAGCTTTTGGCTTTACATGTTTGTGTGAGGCCTCTGTCGGTAGATGCTCCTATCAGAGAAGCTTAACATGACAGATTGAATGCAAAAGCAGGTCCGTGACTCCAGCTGCATCCAGTTTAACTGGACTATTAGAACGACAGGAATGGACAGCCATACTGGTCTGTGGGTTTTTTTGTTGGTTGGCTCTGGAAAATAGAACTACGCTTTTTCATTAAAAATGTTATGGCAATATGTTTTATTAGTACATGAATAAGGTTCTTTTTTCCCCTTTGGATTTCTGGCCTTGTAATTACTAATAAAGTAATAGAAATAAAATGTCTTTGGGATTCTTGGTAGTTTTAAAGTGTCAGGAGGTCCGAAGTTCCCAACATTATGTTGGAGAACTGCTCCCTTAATGAGTGGAGGAAGGTTTTCAGGGTGGGAGCAGAGGTCAAAGCTGAATTCCAGCACAAGCCCATAATCCCATCAAGGGAAACAGTGCGATGCTCACTGGTGACGTTGATAGAAGGTTACAGCCATAATCCTTGAATAACTCTTAATTATAGTACTTTTTGATGTTGGCATTTGTGAAGAGTGTTGAATTTACCACAGGCATGTTCAAATCCATCTTGGAAGAGGTGCATGGGGGGGGGCTGCTCAGAGGCAAGGGTGGAAAGCCTTTGTGTCACATGCTTTGTGTCAGGAGGTACTACTTGTTGGGAGACTTAGAGGGTCAGTGAAGGAGAGGAAGACCTCGGCACGAGATGGAATGATACAATGATTTTAACAGTGGGCTTAAGTGAGGGAGGATGAGACAGCATTGGGCAAGATTTCAGTCTGTTGTACGTAGGGTTATTGTGAATCAGGATTGACTTGATGGCACCTAGCAGCAACAGCACTTTACATGTCTGGCAAGAAAAAAGACTTTTTTTTTCCCCCTCCTGAAAATTGTTTCTTTCGCCCAGGAAATTCACTGTCACCATTAAATGTTGGGAATAATTCACCAGCCAAAGATGGACTTGCTGTAAGTTCCCTGATTTGGTTTTAATTTATGTTTGAGTATATTTGGTTAAAAGATTTTAAGCATATCTTTAAATATATTTAATAACTTATCAATTTGCAAGTCTCTCTATCAGGATTTCGTGTCTTGTTCCTTTATAAAATAATGTTTTTAAAAAGTGTCTCTTTTTAGGCAATTACATACATATATGTATGTGTGTGTGTGTGTATATATTATAAAAGAGAGAGATGCCTTGCATCCTTTAAACATTTGAGCTAATGGTCACATCATGAAGAACCAGCATATAGGATCACAAGGATATTACCCCTAATATGAGGGGTGTTCAGAGCAAAATCTGGTAGGAGGGGGTGGTTTTGTGTTTTTTTTGGGTTTTTTGTGTATGTGTGTGTTTAAAATCAATCAATGCATGTTTATTGCTAGTTGCACTTGGGCCTTGGGTTTTGTTTATATAGTAGCAGTGTTTGAAGTTACTACCAAGTGTTGATAATGCTATTCTCCTTGCTCGATAGAAACCTAATAGTAATGTGATTCTGGCAAAGTCAAAAAAGGTGCACAAGCCACTTGGGAACTCCTTCTCTATAAACAGCCCGGCTCTCTTCAGCTCCTTGACCCCGCCTCTTCGGTCCACAACTTGCCATCGGTGTGGCCTTTTCGGTAAGTGTGTTGTGTTCAGAAAGCTTATGGATGATTTCTCTACAGTAACACTTGTTGTTATGTGAGTCGCTTGCGACACATAGTGACCATATGTACAGTAGCCCTAAACTCTGCTCTGTCCTGTGCCAATCACACTGTCTCTGATACACGCATCCCAATTACCTCAGTCCCTGAATCAGTCCACCTCGTAGAGGGCCTTCCCCTCCTGCGCTGTCCCTCCACCCTCCCAACCATGATGTCCTTCTCCAAGGACCGGTCCCTCCTTACAACATGCCCAAAATATGTTAGACGGAGCCTCAGAATCCTTGCCTCCAAGGAGCGGCCTCGTTTAACCCTTTCCAGGATGAATCTGTTTGATTTCCTAGCAGTCCTTGGTACCCTCAACACTCTTCTCCAGCACCAACCCAAAGGCATCCATTCTTTTTCTATCCTTTATAGTCACTGTCCAACTCTCTGATGCATAACAAGTGATTGCAAACACCATTCTTTTGTGTCGATATATTTACCGTTTCCGCCCCTGAATGCTATTGTGATACAATCACATCACACCACAATGTAAGATTATATGATTATACACCACTCTGTATCTGTTTTCATGTTTGTGAATTTGGGTTACGTCCAGCTTTTTTTTTTGGTCATTGTAAATAGCAACTACTAAACAACTTTGTACAGCTTCTTGTGTGTAGACATAGATGCCCTTGCTTTTTTCAGACTTAAAATTGCTAAGCCAAAGAATATGTTTAAATTGGTAAGAAGCCATTTTCCAAAGTAATTGTCCTGTCTTTATAGTCTCATTGGCAATTTTGGACAATTCTGATTGCTCCACATCTTTGCCAGCATTTGATGTTCTTTTCATTTGAGCCTTTTTGTAAGTATGTAGTGGTTTCTTCTTGTGATTTTCTTTTTCTAAATTTTTTTTTTTTGGTTTGCATATAGTCATTCTTTTAAAAAAATTATTTTTATTATTTTGTGTGTGTTTGTGTGTGTTTGTGTGTGTACTGTCAAATTGGATCTGACAAGTACAGGAGGAGATTGTCCCTCCTTGTCCAGCAGAGCATCTGGTGGATTCGAATCACACACCTCTGGGATTGCAGTGCAGCTTCTTGCCACTAGGCCACCAGAGCTCCCTTGGTTTGCATGTAGCCATTCTTATGCGTCCTGTTTCCTATATGTACTTTGTGTTTTAAACAATTAACATGTTTCCTTCATGGACATTGTTTTATAAAAACCACATGTATACATATTCTATATAATCAATTCTATATAATTAAATATTTGGACTAGTGCACTGATGACCTCCTGGGTTACCGTCTGTAGGCTCGCTGAGGTGTTCGCAGTGCAAGCAGACGTACTACTGCTCCACGGCGTGCCAGAAGAGAGACTGGTCAGCACACAGCATCGTGTGCAAACCTGTGCAGCAGAGGTCAGTGTAGGGTTGAAGGGGCAATGTTTGGGATTTTTAAATATAAGAAAATGTATGATACAGGATCAAGTCTAGTTAAGCAAGTCCTGAACTTACATAGAAGCTTTACTTTTTAAAAATTATTACTCAAGCACAACAAAGTACCAGTCTGAAGCAGACAGTTTAAAAAGGTTAAGAGTTGTGGTGAATATAATTTTACTCCAAAAAAACTTGAGCCTCCCGGTTACTGAGTCTCTCTGGGCTCACGACAAACAAGCATCAGCTCAGCACCTTCAAGTCAGAATGGACGCATCCCTGATCCTCCTGCAGGTTTTCAGAGACAGTAGATCTCTCGTGGGTGATTGCCTGTCTTTTCTCCTGCAGAGCAGTCAGTGGACTTGAACAGCTGGTCTTTGGGTTGGCAGCACAGCTCCTTAACCACGAGGCCATCAGAGCTCCCTAACCACAGAGGCTAGAGTTTACACCACATCTCAGAGTGAAAGATTTAAGTGTAGAAGGATTATTACACTACATAATTTAGTGCACCACATATTTTGCCTTTTTAACGGTTCAAGCTTTAGAATGCCTTCTTTTTAATCGTAGGCTTGCAAAGTGCATCTCTAATGTTCCCGGGTGCGTTTTGGTTTTAAATACTTGAGTGTGGCTGGCGTAGCATTTAACAGTTTACAAAACAGCTTCACTTGGATATTCTCATTTGATGTTCGAAACTGTGTCATGCATTTTCATTGGACAGATGAGAAAGTGGAGACTTGGGAAGGAAACTTGGAAATTGTAGCATGAGGTATTTTTGAAAGGATATCTGTGCATAGGGTCTCCCACTGCTTGGGCAACCAGCATTGAAATGGTTGACTTTTAACATTGTTACTTGGATTTTCTCTGAAAGTAACTATTGTGCTCTTTCTGGATTCTAGTCATGGGAAGTGTACTGTAATTATTGTTAATCATCCTTAGACATTATTGACTCAGTTAGTATAAATAGTATAAACAACTTTTTTCTAGTTTCCACAAACCTGAAGGCAATACTTCACCATTTGAAACCAAGAACATGGAAGTGAAAAATGAGGTATGGTATATTTACTCATTTTCTTTGAGGTAAAATTTTAATGAGTCCTCTTTGTTGAACTAAAAATAAGTTAAGCGAAATAAAATATTGAAGACGGATTTCTGCATTTCACCAGTGGTTATTTAAAAACAAATGTTTCCTGCTGAACGAATCTGTCCACCGTGGTGATCCTATGTGGTGTTGATTTTTTTTTGTTTGTTTTTGTTGGTTTGGTTTTTTTGTGTGTGTGTCTTTGAGTATTCTTTGTTTTCAGTCTTTTTTGGAAAGCATTTGCAGTGTCTGTGTCTCAGTGTAAAACCCCAGAGACTACTTACCGGGTCCTTTCTTGGTGCTTCTGGTGTGTACCAGTTCTCATGTCCTGTGTTCTAGACCCAAGTAGGGCCCACTTTCCTCTCCCCTAAGGAGGGTTTTTTTCTGTTAATATCTATTTTCTTCTTCAATTAGGTAATTATATGTGCTAAATAGTTTATCATGTGAAAACATCTCTTGGACTGTATATTCTGTCTGAGTCATAGTTTAAGGCTTTGCTAGCTGCTCCTCCACCCAAGAATCCATCCTCTTTTAAAATACTCATTCTTACAGAGATTAACAGGTATGTGTTTGAAAGACTAGACCCCTGCTTTGTGTAAGCTCCGCGTCAGCGCCGCCGTCCCAGCCTGGTTGTGGCTGCGTGCACTGCCTGAAGCTGGGGGGTTTTAAAGGCTGACAGGCATTCACTGCTCCTGTGTTCTTTTACTCAAGCCAGGTGACTTGAGCCCCACTTCCAGCAAAGAGTGGCCACCATCTCATTGAAACATGTACTGATAAAGAATTCCCTCTTTCTTCTCCACCCCCCTTCCCCCCAACTAGAGTGATTATCCACTTGGAGTTCCTAAAGAAATAACCCAGTGCCCTGAGAAAATAATGTTTTCTGATTTGAGAAGTCTGCAGCTCAAGAAAGCTATGGAAATAAAGGTACTTGTTTAATCCCCTTTAGAAATCCTGAGAACTAATTTTTTTAAAATTTTATTATTTTTGTGTGTGCGTGTACCGTCAAATCAGATCTGACTGGTACAGGAGGAAATTGTCCCTCCTTCCCCGGCAGAGCATCTGGTGGATTCAAACCGTGCTCCTCTGGGATTGTAGTTGCAGCTCCTTGCCACTAGGCCACCAGAGCTCCCCCGAGAACTAATCTTTACATTGAGTGTGGCATATGTAAGGTAGCTTCCATGTATGGCTAAGTGTCTGAAGCACTTTTTGTGTCTAGGTTTTAAAGCTTTGAGAGAATCACCTTTGTTTGAATTCTCAGTGAGTTAACCATGTCTTTCCTGTCTTTAAAAAGGGCACAGTGACTGAGTTCAAACACCCAGGTGACTTTTACGTGCAGTTGTATTCTTCGGAGGTTTTAGAATATATGAACCAACTTTGTACCAGCTTGAAGGAAACGTACGCAAATCTGCTTGAAGAAGATTACATTCCTGTCAAGGGGGAAGTTTGTGTTGCCAAGTACTCTGTTGACCAGGTAGTTCCTAATGGAATGAATTACTTATTTTCCCCCCCATTTACTTGAGTTACATCAGCTCATCAGCAACAGCACTTTTAATGATGCATTGCTTTAAGTGGCTTAAACCCAGCCCTCGGTGTCCCATGCTGTGTTTGGCTACAGCCCACCTCCACTGCCACTGTCCCCCCCCCGCCCCAGCTCGGCCCTCTCCAGCATTGTTTTTGCATAGGCTCATCAATGGCAGATTGCAAACTGATGCTTAGCACTTGTATTTGTTGGTGTCATTGAGGCTTTAATGTGTGCCAGAAGCTCCTAGTCTAGCATCGTTTAGGGGTAGGAGTGCTTCATAAAGTGCCTTGAGCAGGGAAGGGGTTGGGAAGATGGCATAGGATCAGACAAGGTTTGGACCTGTTGTACATGGGATCGTTGTGAGGAGTAGTTGTCTTAGACACCTAACAGTGATGACAGACTATTGAAGGGATTTCTTAACAAGAATCTTGGGAAACTTGGTTGCGTCTTAGTTGAATTTTCGCCTGTTGTGTAGGTTGGGTAAGGGTTGTGCAGTCCTGTTGTGAAGCAGTGTATTGTTCCTTTTCGCCTTTAGACCTGGAACAGAGTCGTCATACAGGATGTCGACCTGATGCAGAAGAAGGCGCAAGTCCGATATATCGATTATGGAAATGAAGAGATGATCCCAGTGAACAGACTTTACCAACTAAACAGAAACATTGACTTGTTCCCTCCTTGTGTGAGTTTCTTTCTCTTTCTCAGTTCCTAGCGGGTACCGCAGAGGGGTTTCCTTTAAAATGTTTTGATGGATTTAATATGATGTGCTCGGCTCTCATTCCTGTGGAAAGTCCTTGTGCTGTAACTTTGGGTGTATGAACACTCACTGGTATTCTTGGCTCCCTTTTCATTCACTTTATTTAGCTCAGTTCTGTTGCAGGTGGAAATCATTAGAATTTTTTTTTATTGTTATTTTTTATGTGTGTACTGTCAAATCGGATCTGACTGGTACAGGAGGAGATGGTCCCTCCTTCTTCAGCAGAGCGTCTGGTGGATTTGAACCATGCACCTCTGGGATTGCAGTGCAGCTTCTTATAGAATTTTGAGGCACATCTTACTAAGCTGCCAGTGGGGAAAAAACATCCGTTTCTGTGTTTATGCCATTATTCTGAAATGACTTGGACTCATACAAATTGTTCTCCTTTCATGGATTTCAAGAAGGGTAGAGAGGGGGCAAAAATAACATGAAAAATTGATTTTTTCTGGATAGTTAGTACTTAAAGGTTTTTCCATAAATTTTCAGTATGAAATTGTCTTTAGTATTTGTGAAAGAGTTGGAGCACACTGTGTATAAATACTAATTTTTGTAAGTACTCTGTGTCAAATCTTTCAGGCCATAAAGTGCTTTGTGGCCAATGTTATCCCAGCAGAGGGGAGTTGGGGCAGTGAATGTGTCAGAGCGGTCCGACCCCTGTTATTGGAGCAGTTCTGCTCCTTAAGGATCATGGACATCTCAAAAGAGGAAACACTCACCTTTGCTGTAGATGTCACACTGTCCAGTTCAGGTGAGAGCTGACTGTTCTAAAATTATGAGGACTGACATGTGATTAGATACTATTGTTATGATAGGAGTCCAGAAAAAAGGTAGCATAGTGGAATGGACTTGGGGGGAGGGATTGTATAACAATAAAAGAATTTTTTCTTTTACTTTTTAAAAAGAAAAGCGAATTACAGGGGGAGGGGTAGGCAGGGAGAAAAGTGCCGCAATGAATGACTGGAAATCCAAAGTCTCTGTAAACTTACATGAAAACCAACTTAAAATGAAAAAAAAAAATGAGCTTTTAATATGTCATATAGTCTCTCTCCTTACCTGTTCCCCAGAGAAGAAATAGACATTGGGATGAGGCCAAAGAAGGTCCTCTCTGGATCCGTTCAGACTGTGGCTGAAGCTGGGATACTGATCTTTTCTTCCCTTGAGTGGTTTGTCAGAGATGGTGCACGTATTTCTAGAATTAAGTGACTGAAAGACTAACTAGGTCAGACAGAATAATTGTACTCATCTATTAATGGAGCCTTGATGGCGGTTTCTTTATGGTGTAGAGGTCCTATGCTCCATTTCCTGAAACGCAGGTGGCAGTTTGAACCCACCCGAATCCCCTGAATAGGAGAGTTCTGGTGTCCGAGGGGTAAGGAGTTGAGCTGCCAACCCAAATACAAGTGGTTCAGATCCCCCAGCTGTTCCTTAGAAGAAAGATGATCATCATCTCTGTGATTTGTAGCCTCTGAAAACCCACAGGACTGTCAGATTCTGACTCAATGGCAAATAGCAACAGCAGGATACCCTCAAGTACCTCAGTAGACAGGCCTGGTGGTCTCCTGACTGGCCTTGACCTAAAAAACTCTATGGAGTGTTGCTGTTTTACCCTTCAGTCACATGGGGTCGCCATGAGTTGGAATAGATTTGATGGCAACTGGTTTGTTTGTAGAGGAGAGTATGTATGGCCATGATACAGATTATTGAGAAGAACTGCGGAATTTGTTACTCGGTTTCTATATCAGTGCTTTCTTTGTCTTTGAGCAACTCTTCTCAGATGGCTTTTGGCTACTCTTTCTTACTTAGTTACTGTAATAATTAGAACATATTTAAATTGTGTTAGTTGAAGCACTTTGGAAGCTTCAGGTCAGTTGGAAAGGTGACTTTTCCCATTTTTCTTATTACTACTTGATTTCCACGGTAATTCTTATCTGCTTAGAATTCTCTAGAGTAACTTGGTGGAAAAGTTGACCCTGTTGTGACTTGAACTCCAGACTCTATATTCAGTTTTTATTCTTTACTATGCATGTTTCATAATAGGCCTTAAGCTCTTGAATATTCTTATAGAGACCTTGTGTTTCTGGTGAATTCTGGCCTTTATTCAGCTATATTTGTAGGCAAGGAAGAAAGTATTCATCTTAATTTATTTCTTCTAAATGAGAGTCATTCAAGCTTATTAGTGAGCTGCTGTCCACTGCTCTTGTGTGTTCAGATTTTTTTTAAATCTTAACTACAATTCTAGCAATTATACAAATACTGTTTTCTAAAAGAGTGCTCTCATTATATTTTATATCTAGAAAAAGGAGTAAGAAGTACGCCAATATATTAATAGCTATAATTGCTGAATCATATAATTATGAGCCATGTGTTCCCTGTGTATACTTTTTTCTGTGATCCTTTATGTAGTATCTCAGCGGAGATAATGTTTTCTTAATCACTTCCTAGGGAAACTCTTTGACGATGTGCTTGTAGAAATGGGCTATGGCCTGCAACCCAAGAAGCAAGGTGAAGATCACAGTGAGTATTATACAGACTTATGTAACAGTGGGATGATTTCAGCTGTTGATGACTAGCCTTTCTAACTGATGGGAAAGTAGCAGAACAAGTTCATTCTCAGACTTAACTGGTACGGATGACTGTTTGTAAACTACATATAAGAGGAATTTTAATTTCATGTTATTCCTTATCTGTGGCTGTTTTTCAATGAACTTATTTTTAGCATGGTAATTATCAGAGATGATAAAGAACTAAGTATCATGGTGCCTTAAATCGGGGGCTTTGAAACTAACATTTCCTTGGTTTAATTTGTTCTCGTCATTGGATTATTCCAGAGTCAGGAAACAGGAATAAATAGGATGCTAAAATGCTGTCTGATAGAATAGTATTTCTTCTTAAAACTTGTTCTTAATTGTGTTTGTGCATTTTGAGTTTGTATTGATTGCTAGGAGAGAAGCAGAGGGCTTTGCTACCAGCATTTGCTTTTTCTTTAGCTAGTCTTTTTATGTGTTGTGCTGCAGTCTGCCTTCCCCTCTCTGCCTCTCCTTTAGGAACGACTTGAGACATAATTTATTTTCTCTTGCTGATTGGTTAGATGATTGCTCCATAAATGGTCCCGGGATTGGAGGGCACGTCCTAACATCTAAATGGCACACTCTAACATCTACATTACTTCTCCCATGCCTTCCATCTTTATTTGATTGATTAGAAGCCAAAACCCAAATGAATGGAAACCCAAAATCTCTGTAAATGTTCATTAAAATTAATAAAATAAAATAAAATTTAAAAAAACCCAACCAAAACCCAAATTAAACTCTCTCTGAACCTTCACTAAAATATTACGTACATATAGGGAGCTCTGGTGGCAAGAAGCCACGCTACAGTCTGGAAGGCACGTGGTTCGAGGCCGCCAGCTGCTCCTCAGGAGAGAAAGGATAGGCAGTCTCCTCCCTTGTGATTAACTGCCTCTGAAAAACATGCTGGAGGGTCTGTTCTGACTCTATGGTAAGCAGCAACATAGATCGATAGATTGATTGATAGAGCGATTAATTGATCCATCTAATCTATCTATTGCTAATTAGAATTTTCTTAAATTTTGATAATCATTTTAAAAAACCAAAACCCGACCAGCAGGAGAGGAGATGGTGCACCTTTGTCGTGCAGAGCAGCTGGTGGACGTGAAGCACCAAATAGGTGGCCTCCTTGGTTTAGCGGCTCTGGCTCCCTGAGGACCAGGCCACTAAAGGTTGTCTGGTTACCAAGTCTTCCTAGATTTTTTTTCTTATTAATGTTTCCTTAGTTCCAAAGTTTTTATACATAGACACTGGGGACAGCTCTCTGATGCTGTCGTTTGTCTCCTGTCTGTACCCAGCAACACTGCCTGTGTGTAATCACTGAGACACAATTTGCTGAGACAGCTGGAGACGGCAGTTGAACTCTTCAGTGTCTGTCGGCGCTGTTTGGGACCATGCATACTAGGAAATGAGGACAAGTAGTGAGGGAGGTGACCTTGGAGCTTCACATTGCCATGCTCTTCTCCGCTCCCTTCTGTTCCCCACCTGTGCTCACCCAGGCCCACCTGGCCGTGAGTGTACACACCTGCAGTGTCTTGTTCCTGGAAGACAAGTTAGCTCCTGATTGGAGAGCTTCTGAGGCGCGTGAGATTTAGAAGAGCAAAGACCGTGGCATTTTACTTGCTTTCATCTCCTCTTGCCTGCTGTCTGACACGCAGCTTTTGTTACACCAACACCTTTAGAAATTTTCATTTTCCTTACTTTACCTTTTTTACTCGAATCATGGAGCTTGCTTTGGCTCCTTGCGATCTTACTTTGGACCAGCTGTTCCCTTCAGTGGGATTGTGAGCATAATTTGTGGAATCTCTTGTAATCTGTTCTTGAGAGGTGATTTCTTGATGTCAAATTGTCTCCAGTGTTTTGGGGTTTTGGTTTTTTTTGTTTGTTTGTGGTTTTTTTTTTTGTGGTTTGTTTGGTTTTTTGTTGTTGATTGTTTACAGAATCAATCTGGTAAGAAACATTTTCTTTAACAATTTCATAACGTTCCATCTGGTTTTTGCTTTGCTTGTGGCATGTACAGTAATTTTATCTGAATAACATCTTAGCCATAGTTCCTTCAAGTACCAAGGCTCTTTTGCTTTAGTTTGTTTTTGTCTTTTCCAAATCTTGATAAACTGGTCTCATAGTATCTTTCTTCAAGTCTTGATTAACATATTTCTTGAGACCTTAGACTTTATTAGGCTCAAGTGTGTGTGTATGGGTATATGTTTGTGTGGATGGGTATTTCTTTTCTGGGCGTTCTTCTTATCTGATTAATATTTTCAGTATCCTATAAGCTTTTATTAGCTTTTTAGTGCATTTTTAAAAGAAAAACTTGTTTCCTAGCTTAATATAGAGGAAACTTTGGTGGCTTAATGGTAAAAAGCTGCACTGCCACCCTGAGGTTTGTGGGTTGAGTCCACCAGCTGCTCCATGGGAGAAAGATGGGCATTCTCTTCCCGTATACTTTACAGCCTCTGTAAATCTAGTGGAGGGTCTGCAAGAGTCAGTTCCAGTTTGACAGTGCTCATTGACAACAGTTTATTCTTGAATCAAAATTATTCATTTCTTTTTGTGATAAATGGTTTCATACCGTACAGAATTTTTCATTTGAATGTAGAGTCATTTGTCATATGATGTGTTTCAGTGTCTTAAGAGGATATCCATTCCAAGCTATATGATACTGAACTTTTTTAATGATTCTAAAAGATTTCATTATAAGACTTTTCAATTAGGGGAGCTCTGGTGGCCTAGTGGCAAGAAGCTGTACTGCAATCCCAGAGGTACACGGTTCAAATCCACCAGATGCTCTGCTGGAGAAGGAGGGACAATTTCCTCCTATATCAGTCAGATCTGATTTGACGGTACATGCACAAAAAATAATAATAAAAAAATGAAAAAAATTTTTTTAAAAAAAAGACTTTTCAATTAGCTGCCTTTTTTTTTTTTTTAAGCCACTAGCTTAGTTTCTTTGGGCTTTTCTAGATTTTGGTAATGAGGAAGTTTACCTTTGCTAGAGACACTTTTTCTTTGCGGAAGGAAACACTGTAGCCTCCCTGTCAGGAAGCTTGCTTGATCCTCTTATTCAAAATTATTAAAGTATGTATGTATGTATGCCTTTGGTTTTTTAACTTCTGTGAAAATGAGTTGAGTTTTGACTGTTTCTCCCCCACCTGCTTATCTAAGAAGACAATTCCGAAGATGTTGGAAAACTTACAACTGAAGACAAAGTTGTAGTCGTCAGGAATGACTTAATCCCCAAAGTGTTGGCCTTGAATGTGGGGGATGAGTTCTGTGGTGTGGTGGCCCACGTTTTGACTCCAGAAGACTTCTTTTGTCAGCAGCTACAGAGTGGCCGTAAGTGACATTTCTTGATAGGTTGTGTCTAGATACTGTACATGAAGAGACTCAGCCCATCAAAGTAGAGATGTTCTATCAACAAGAACAAGAATTTCTCGTGTTTACGATACGATCTGTGTTTGCAGATAAGCTGGCTGAGCTCCAGGCATCCCTTAGTGAGTACTGCAGTCGAGCGTCTCCACGCTTTGATTTTTTCCCAACCATTGGTGATATCTGCTGTGCTCAGTTCTCAGGTAAGGAGAGAGTATTATTGGGGCCTCCTGATCTTTGCTAACCTCCCCCCACACACACACTGATGTGGCGTCTGTTCTAACTCATCGTGAACCTGCAGGACAGAGTCCAGGACTGTAACTCTTGATGGAAGCGAGACAGCCACACCTTTCTCTCATAGAAAGGGTCTAGGTAACACTTAACTGTTGGTGGGAGTATAAAATGGTACAATCACAATGGAAGGCGCTTATAGTGTGGCGCTTTCTCAAAAAGTGCAAATAGAGAGACCATTTGACCCAGCAATTCCACTACTGGGAATTTACCCTAAAGAAGCCAGAACTGCCACCCAAACAGATGTATGCACACCCATGTTTATCGCAGCTTTGTTCTCAATAGCAAAGAGTTGGAAACAACCTAAGTGCCCATCAGCAAATGAATAGAGAAGCGGTGGCATATTCACACAATGGAATACTATGCTGCATTGAAAAACAAGGAACTCATGAAATATTATTCAGAATGGGTGACCCTGGAGGAGGACATGCTGAGTGAAATATCTCAGTCACAAAAGGACAAATATTGCATAGGGCCACTTGTAAAACGGGACTGACCTCGAGGTTGGGGGGAGACTGAGAAAGTGGGATAAATTATATATATGGCATTGAAACAGATGAGGGAGAGACCTGTTTAAAAGGGATATATGATTAGGTATTATTTTCATGACAGGAGTCCAGAACGAAGGCTGCATAGTGGAGTGGACTTGGGGGAGGTATTCTGTAACAATGAAAAAATTTTTCTTTTCCTTTTCATAGACAAGAGCGAATTGGTGGACAGGGAGAAAAGTGCAGCAATGAATGATTGGAAATCCAAAGTGTCTAAACTTTCATTAAAATTAATAATAATAAAAAAAGAATGGGTCCAGGTCCTAGAACTTCTGTTGGGCGTTTTTTGTTTGTTTTTGTTAACAGCCAAGAGCTCCAGCCATTGGGCTGTCAGGGCTGCTATTGTTCATACCCCAGTGGGAAGTCAGGTGTACGGAAGTCTCAGCATTTATCGCTCTGCCAGTGTCATCTGTGGGGAGTTGTGTAGGTAATCCAGGGGCTGAGACTCCAGTGGTCGAATCCACCGTGGGCTCTGAGAGAAAGAGATCAAGATGGGCAGTTTTCCCGGGTGACCTACTATGCTTTGGAAATCTACTGGATGGTCAGCAGTCCATCTGTTCCCAGCTCAATGGCAATGAACGTTTCTTATGTTTAACTTATTAATAGAAACAAATGATACAGACTCTCAGTTTACTCTGAAGGCCTACATTTGGAACTTAGGTATTAAAGTGCATCAGTTAGGTTTTTAATGATTTTCATCTAAATTAGATCCAGGGATAAGTGTGAGGCTAGAGGACAGGGGAGCAGTCTGGATATTTTTAAGGGGGTTTTCAGGGTTTTGGAGGTTGGTATAGATAACGCTGTTGACATAAGTTTGCGGACGGAGAACCCCCTATGCTTGAGTCCTCATCCATTCCCTTTGGAACAGTTTGAGGGTCTCGAAGCAAGGATTTGTGCAGCTCTTTGCTGTGGGGTATAGCTTTTGTGAGCCTTTGCTCAAAGAGGTCCAGTGGCCACGTAGAAGAGGAGATACACGTTACAAGTAAATATTCAGTAAATGGATTGCTTGCTTGGTGGAGTGAGTCTCATTGGTTCGTGCTGCCAGCTACTCTGAATTCATCCTGCCTGAGTGAATGTTTCATGTCTTGATCAAGACCTTGGGGGTTCACATGACCAAATGTGTCCTCTGTCCTTGTGAGCTAACTGTCTAAAAGGGAACCAAGAGGTGTAAATAAATAATGACAGCATAGGTATTGGTTGTATTGCAAGGGATGAGTCAGTTACATTTAGGGTGTCAGAGGCCTCTGGTGAACAAAAACAGCAGTGCTGTGTAAACATACATATTGTTCAGTAAAACGTCTTAGTAAAATAACACCTACATGTGACCTATCCCTGAGTTGGGAGGAAAGGTTTTTGTTAGAAATATACGTTGGGAAAGTGCTTGAGATTGAGTGTCTGTTTTCCAGAGGATGACCAGTGGTACCGGGCTTCTGTTTTGGCATATGCTTCTGAAGACTCTGTTTTGGTTGGATACGTAGATTATGGGAACTTTGAAGTCCTTAGTTTGACAAGACTTTGTCCCATAATTCCGAAATTGTTGGAACTACCAATGCAGGCGATCAAGTGTGTCCTGGCAGGTAGGAAAAGTTTATGGTCTCTATATTCTTAAAATACTTACATATTTGGCTAGACATTATTTATCTGTTTATCATTATTTATTTGGCTAGACCTTATTAGCAAAAAATAATCCTCAAGGAAACATTCAGGAACTGCGGGATGCTTACATTCCACCCGTAATTAAATTTAATATGCTTATGGTTCTGAAACTGAAGGTGGCTTTTTTTTTTACCCCCTAATTGTAGGGACTGTGTTAGCTATAAATATTATAGAAGCCAACTGGCTGATAGAAAAAGACCCATGAAGTGCGAGGAAAAGCTTGTTTATAAAAACGGTAACTGTACTTGACCATGTGTTTAGACATTTAATTCTATGCTCTCAATCATGTTTTCACACTTGCTGCCTCTCGGCTGTCTAGAGTTTGTCCCACTAGAACCAGGGACTTCTCATCTAAATACATCGAGAGTTCTGCAACCTTTATACGGATGGTAATGTGAATTTAATTCACATTCAGTGTCAAAAGAGTTTTTCCAAGTGGTTGCTCTTAAGATTTTGCAACATGCCAAAGATCATATTCTGAGGACTTGGGGCAACAGGGAGTTTAGTACAAAATACCTCTGGAATCCTTTGTCAGTGGGGAGGGGCAATGTCAGTGATATGTCCTTGTCTGGTTTATGGAAGTGTATTGTGAATGTTCTCCGGAAGAGTCAGAACACATTTACACACCACCAGAAATGCAGAGGGAAGTTGGTTGCTTCACACAGTGACATGCCTAGTAGATAGTCTTGTTTTTTTTTCCATCTTGAGCAGCTTTGAGTAGCTAAGAAGGCAGTAATTCCATCTGCTTCATTACCGGTGAGGCTGAGCATTTTTCCTGTAAATTGCTTGGCTCTTAGATTTTATGAAGCCAACTTTTTTCCCCCAGTGTCCTTTTAGTACTAATGTGTGTTATAACTGATTCCTGTGTTAATGGGAGAGGTCTTGTTGGATTTTCTTCGTGCTGTTTATTTTTCACAATAATTTTATTTGAAATACTTAACATACCATAGAGGTACTATTTTAAATTCAGTGATTTTTTTTTCTTTTAACAAAAAAACAACCCAAACCACACCCAATGTTTAGCAACTTGTGCAACCATCACCATAATCTAGTTTTGAGGTGTTTCTGTCAGCCTGGTGTGATTCTTAGTGCTTGTTCCCAGATACCATCAACCCTCAGGCAACTGCTAGTCTAGAACATTTCATATTTATGGAATTAATGGTGACTTTTCACTTAAAAGTGTGTAAGCTTTTTTTTTTTAAATATGTAGACAGGCAAGGGATACTTTGTCTAGTGACTTGACATATGTACCACTGAATGTAAGTTAAAGGCCTGCTTGTAGGCCAAAGCCAGGTCCTTTGGGTGGTTCAGTCAAAGAGGTAAGTCCACCAGCTGGTTCACAAGAGAAGCGTCCACTCCTTGGCCCAGGTTTTGGCTTGTTGCCAGCCTTTAGGTCATCAAGAATTTCTTCAATATCAGTGCGTAAGCTTTTTACAAGCTTTTTTGTTAGGTGTATTTTTGAGAGGAGAGATGTTTTATTACTTCTCCCCCCCCCTTTGTAATCTTATAAACTTGTTTGTATTAAGAAACCTCCTGTTCAGTTGAGATTATTGCTTCTAATGTGTGTGATGGAGCACTTAACATTTAACTCTAGAGTTTGGGAACTGAATTTTTAAGTGCTGCTTTTCAAGAACTAACTTGACCAAGTCTTTGCCAAAATCCTTTGTTAGGAGTAAAACCAGCATTAGGAGTTTGGACTCCAGAATCGATTTGTCTAATGAAAAAACTTGTGCAGAACAAGATGATAACAGTGAAAGTGGTGGACCAGTTGGAGAGCAGTTCTCTGGTGGAGCTGACGGATAAGTCTGTGACGCCTCACATCACCATTCGGAATGTTCTCATAGAGGCTGGCTTTGCCACAGGAGAGAAGGAAATGTTGCCAGTTAAAGCCAGTGACCTGAAAGAAGTCAGTGGTAAGTGAGCTACAGACCAGATAATGTTATTGCTGTTCTTGAAACAGCTCTCCAAATGGGTAAGGAACTCTGATGGCCTAGTGAGTAAGTAATTGTGCTGCCAACCCAGCGCCAGGCAGTTCAAATCTAACAGAGGCTCCAGGGGAGAAGGACGGACAGTCTCTTCTCCTTTCCAGCCGTAGAAAGCCCACTGGAAGGTCAGCTATTAGTTCCAACTTGACAACAGTGAGAGAAATAAATGAGTAAATAAATAAACCAGTTCTTGTTCTTAGAAAAGAACTGATGTTGAGTGTGATCTTTTAAAATCAAGCCTCATTCTAAATATTGGGGTTATTTTTGAAAATTGGGCATTAAAAAGAAAACAACCAGCCCACCAAATATTTTCAGAGTCAGAGCAACTGAAGAACCACCAGAACATGAATCTAAAATGTAATGAAGTAGTAACTGTCCATTTTAAGGCTGAAATGGTTTTGTGGCAAAGTCACCCAGAAAATCAATGGAAATTTAGCTCTTCAAAAGTAAGTTCTGAGGTCCCTACCCCTGCCTTCCCCCACCACAACTCTGGTCCTTGTGTCTTACGAAAGTGTCCATTTGTTTTCACAGTTCCTTTAAGTTCAGAAGCCAAAGCCACTCCTTTGGAGTGGACGTGGGTTGAACTTGATGTTGACCAAACAGTAGACGTCATGGTCTCTATGGTCTACAGTCCTGGGGAGTTTTATTGCCATGTGCTGAAAGAGGATGGTAAGTTGGATCTTTTTATTTATGTATTTTTTTTCTATCAGCACATGGGTGTAAATAATAACTTTATTGAGTTGAGTTTATTGTATCTGTACCTTCAAGAAAGATTTATTCTAAGTCGTTTCTGCTCTCACCAGTCTGTATATTCAAGTCAGTTTAGTTTCATAAACTGACTCTTGAAATTTCTCATTAACGCGTTTATTGAAGTCCAGTATACATACCAACTCTGCGGTACACAGCAACAACTGCAACCTACATGGAGATAAGTGCGAAGATAAAAGTGTGGCTTGGTGAGTTATCTCGAAGTCAGCACACTTGTATAGTTAGAAATTAGGTCAAGAATCGAAGCATCACCAGTGTCTCAGGTACGTCCTTCCTTTCCCCGTCCTTGATCCCTGCGCCTTCTTTCTTTCATAACAGACCACCATGCTCTTCTGCCTCCTAATAGAATACATTCATTTGACCTGGTTTGATATATGTCAGTGGACTTCTGGGCCTCAGCGTCTCTGGCCCCAAGGAGTGGCATTGCTCACCCAGAGGCCACACGTCTGGTGGGTCACATCCACCAGCCGCTCTGCCGGGACAGAGATGGTCAGTGTCCTCGTCTGTGGTTTAGGACTTTGGGCGCTTGACGGAGGCTCAGCTTTGAGTCAGTTCCAACTCTTGAGCCTGAGTTCTGAGCCTCGCCATCTGTCCTGTCCTCTTGACGGTGTTTGTGAGGTAGAGCCGTGTTTTTACACGTAGCCGTGGCTGCTGCTTTTTGCTGCTACCCGGTACTCCACTGCTTGGGCTACTGCTGGACGCGTCCTTTCCGCTCTTGGTCATTTGGGTGGTTTGGAATCTGGAGCTATGAAACGATGCAGCGTGAATGCACCTGCATGTGTATATTTGTTACAGAACTTGGAGTGAAATTACAGAGTTGCAGGGGGCACGGAAAGCACTCAGCTTGTAGCCGAAAGGTCTGTGGTTCAAACTCGCCCAGCAGCTCCATAGGAGAAAGACTTGGTAATTGGCTCTGGTCAAGATGAGAGCCAAGACCCCTGTAGGGGTGGTATCTGTTGAGTCGAAGTCCCAGGACATCCAGCAACAAAGGGTGGATGAGTTGCAGGTTTTGGGGGTTTTTTGTGTTCGGTTTTTTTAAAAAAATTATTTTATTATTTTTTGTGTGTGTACCATCAAATCAGATCTGACTGGTACAGGAGGAGATTGACCCTCCTTCTCCAGCAGAGCATCTGGTGGATTCGAACCTCACGCCTCTGGATTGTAGGGCAGCTTCTTGCCACTAGGTCACCAGAGCTCCCTGAGTTGCAGTTTTGACCAGTGTCTGCCAGATGGTTTTCCAGAATGGTTCCAAACTGAGATTCACCTGCTGTGGGTGGTTTCGTGCTTTGCCACCCTGAGCAACTGGGCGTGGCGGAATGGGAACCCTGAGCTGACCCTCTGGGAGTTTGGGGAGGCCATAGGTTGGTTGCACAGGAGGAGATTTCCATTTTCTTCCGGAGGAGGCCCTGGTGGGTGTGAAACACCAGAGCCTCTGACTTTGGATTGACAGCACACTTCCCGAGGTCTGTCCCTCCAGAGCTCCCTTTTGTGCTTTCAGAGACCCTTAAAACGGGTTTTTGCAAACTAGGACAGAACATCTGCTGTGAACATTGTACTTTTTAAGGTTAAGAGTGGAGTTTGACAGTGGCAACTCAGAAAAGGAGGACATTTCTGGGTAGTGAGTGGGTGTGATGGGGGAGGGGGCGGGAGGTTGCACAACCTGAAGACCATAATCCCTGTCAAGACTGCTCGTGCTCCGGCTGATAGGCGCTGTGCTCGCAACAGGGTAAATTAGGAGAAATATTTAGTAAGCTTTGCCCTCTGAGACTTGGACATCTGAGACTATATCCTTGGCCCAAATTTGTCAGTTCTGATAAAGTCAGATACTTTGACATTTTCGTTATTGCCCTTTATCATTAATATCTTTGTCCTTGAACAACTAGCAGTGAAAGCATCAACAAATGATGCCCTGCACCATAGTATGTGGTACGGATTACTGATGACACGTTGTACTAAAAACCGGGGTACATTCTCGCTGGTTGTAGGTGTAGTGTGTGGCGTTTGACTAACTTGGATTCCCGAGGACTGCCTTACCTGACGTGTTAAAAGCTTGCTCTCATTTGGATCTCTAGACTCTCTGGTGTTTTCTTTCACTTTGGTTTACACTTGGCTCATCTCTTCTTCTCCAGAGGGCTCCCTGTCAAGTAGATTTTAGCTGCTTCATTCTGTACTCTGTCTCAGAACTTCTGGAACCTACCTTCCTTTTCTATCACGTGTGTCACATTTCAGGAGCCCACATCCCTGAATTCCTTTGACACATCTCAGCCTTTTATGACTCTTTCCAGACAGTGACCTTCATTCACCTTGGATGAGACCTTTCTTTAAGCTGCTTCAGGGTACTTCTGCACTTTTCCCATGTCCCCATACAAATCTCATGCTCTCACTGGTGATAATGTCACAGGCCACCATGCCGAGTGAGTAAATCACTGGTAATTGATTTAGAGTTGTTGCTGTTGTGTGCTGTCAGATCTGACCCATAGCTCGCCCTCAGGCAGGTTTTCAGAGGCAATTAGTTAATCGCACAGGAAGACATGGCCCAGCCTTCTTTGGCAGAACCTCTGGTGGATTCGAACCACCTGTCTTGGAGATTGCAGCACAGCTTCTTATCACTAGGCCACCAGAAATTATTACTAAGTAAATAACTCATTTTACCAGTTGGGGTTTTTGTCTTAATAAAAATGAAAAAAAATCCTTACTTAGTCTTGGGGATTTACCTGAGATTTTTACAGTGAAAACATTCTGTAATGGGAGGGGAAGTCTGTGTTGGGCGTGTTTGGGTTTACTATTCACTATTCAGTGCAGCATGTTTATTGTATTTCAGCGCTAATTAAACTCAATGATTTGAATAAATCGCTCGCGGAATACTGCCAGCAGAAGTCACCGAATGGTTTTGAGGCACACGTAGGGCAACCTTGTTGTGCTTTCTTTGCAGGTAAGTTGGCACTTGGTAAAAGCTTGACTTTACTCAAATCTTGCTTTTACTGTATATTTTCTTCCTGAAATTTAATCAATTGTTTTTCACAACCAGGATTAAATGAATGCCTATTTCCCTCTCACTTTTTAAAAGATCATAATAGTCTTCTTGTCTTACTTGTGTTAAACTTTGGTTTAATATCTTTATTCCCAAAGTTTTTAATAATAATAAAAATCAAGGAATGCAAAGACTCTTCTCTGCAGATTCTGTGTTTCCTTTGGTCATTCTGTGTAGGTATGTATTGAGAATACATTTGATGACAAAACTCATTTGCATGAGTTTTACTATTTTTTTTCTTATTTTACAAAATGACAAAACAGTCTAAGCTGTTAGTGGTGTACGAATGTTGTCTTTGTAGATGGACAAGCATGGCAAGGCTTACACAACTTGACGTTGACGTTCTGCGTCTTCACAAACATGAATGAGTGGGTCACGTTTGATGCTGTGACATACTCTTTGACAGTTTTCTGACATTTTGGAAACTCACAGGGATTTTTGAAAGAGAATGAAAGGCTTCATTAGCTACATTAGGCAAATAATACCTTTCATCAAGAGTGGCTTAACGAGATAATTCCATGTTAAAACCTTTGTTTGTTTTAAATTTAGGTGATGGTAATTGGTATCGCGCTTTAGTTAAGGAAATCTTACCAAATGGGAACGTGAAAGTGCATTTTGTGGATTATGGAAACATGGAAGAAGTCACTGCACAGGAACTTCAGACCATCTCATCAAAGTTTTTAAAACTTCCATTTCAAGGCATACAGTGTTGGCTAGTAGGTATGGTACAGAATAGATTTGCTCAACTGCCTTCTAATACTTTTAGGATATGTTAAACTTCTGTAATTTTCAGGTATTGGGCACATTAAAAGATATTGTTGTTATATGCCTTTGAATTGCCTGTGACTCATAGCGACCCTATGTACAACAACCCTAAACCCTGTTTTATCCTGTGCCAATCTTACTGCCTCTTGACACAGCTACTTCCATTACCCCAGTCACTGAATCAGTCCATCTCATTGAGGGTCTTCCTCTCTTGCTCTGACCTTCCACCCTCCCAAGCATGATGATCCTCTCGAAGGACTGGTCCTGCCTTGCAGCATATCCATAGTATGTCAGAAAAACTTCAGAATCCTTGCCTCCAAGGAGTAGCCTGACTTCACCCTCTCCAGGACAAACCTTTTCGTTCTCCTCGCAGTCCATGGTATATTCAGTGCTCTTCTCCAGCACCACAACTCACAGGCATCAATTCTTCTAGCATCCCTGGTCATTGTCAAGCTTTCTGATGCATAACAAATAATTGCAAAAACTATGGCCTGGATCAGACGCACCTTAGTCTCCAGACTGACATCATTGCTCTTCAATACTTTGGAGAGGTCTCTCAGAGCAGACTTTCCCAGTGGAATTAATCTTGTAATTTCCTGGCTGCTGGTACCAAGAGTATCTGAAACAGTTATTCCCCCCTCAAAAAAAAATTAGCCAAAGTGCCTAGTGTTGACAGAGAAGCAGCTGAAAAGACGTGAAGCAGGTGTGTGACTTTACGGAAGCCAAGAATTCCATAGAAGTCTCTAATATCTTTTTGACTTAACAATTTTACTAATAATTTATCCTAAAGAAGTCATTGCAGTTTTGCTCATAATAACAAAACAGCCTAAATAACCTAAAACAGAAGGCTACTTACTGATCCATGCAGTAAATAATAGTACTATTTCCTAGAGTAGTAGTTATGATTAAATGAGTATTTCTATCAGAGCTTGAAACTCAAAGTTCTGTTGAATTGTTTGCTGTTAATATGTGGCCATTAATGTGGTGGTTAGGTGCCATGGAATCAGCTATAGTAAATGTTGATAAAAAGAGCTGTCCATTATTTAAATGAAGAAAGCAAGTTACAAAGACAAGATGGTATTGTGATTAGAACCCACAGACTCAAAAGCACATACTCTTTTTGAAACTGTAGACAAATTATTTAAAGTGGAAAATGATAGTTCTTTCCTACAGGATTCATTAAGAATAAAAGAAAAATGAACACCTCAGCCGTGCCTGGCATTTTACTATTGTAATACTCTTATCATGAAGTTACAGTCTAAATGATAAGTAGCATTGTGTATGCTCCCCTTTGTAAAAGAAGCAGGTGTGTATGAACATGTATATCTCATTCTCCACATTAAAAAAAAAAAAGGAAGATTGAATGTCAGAGTGTTACTGTCCAGAAGTATGCATGTTTTCATTTTGCTTTTCTGTTTTCTTTGTACTCAGCCTATAAGAACTATATTCTGAGTTTGTTGAGGGCAAATTTTATCACTTTAATGTCAGTTTTGCTCAAAAATGATATTCCTAAGCTATCAGGATAGATGATAGCATACTTAAAAATGCAAGTTCTCAGTCCAGGTGCTGGAACCATTAAATCAGACACCCTTTGGTAGGACCCCACATCTTACTTGAACCAGCGGTTTTGGTGATTTCAGACACAAGTCAAAGTTCATGAGTCACTGTTCAAAGAAGGATACAAAAGTCATTTCTATGTAAGAAAAAGAATTTTTGGTTAAGTAATTTGAAGTGAGTTTGTCCAGAGGAAGGACATTTGTTAGCAGCTAATTGGTGATTCATCTTTGTGTGTAGAACAACACAGTAGTGGATTTTCCAAGGCTAATTCTGTATTTCCTATTGGAAAAGTTGCAGTGAAATTTTATTGGTGGGGAAGGTAGAGCAAGATCCAGAGCCTTGTAAAATCCTACTGGTAGATATTCCGGGTCCTGCATCATTTGCAGGGAGGGTGTGGAGAGTTAATTGGGTTGGTTATTGCAGAAAGGCACGTAAGACTTGCTGGCCTGAACGGTGACTGTGTGAGAACCTTGGCGTGGCTCCGGTAGAAGTGAAAATGAACCTCATGTGTTCAGGCCTTTTTAATGGTGCTGTTTCTTTCCAGATATACAACCTCGAAGCAGTCACTGGACCAAAGAAGCCACCGCTAGATTTCAGATGTGTGTCGCCGGGCTCAAACTCAACGCCAGAGTAGTCGAAATCACGGAAGATGGCATGGGAATGGAGCTCACTGACCTTTCCACTTCCTACCCCAAAATCATCAGTGATATTCTGATTGATGAGGAGCTGGTTTTAATGGCCAACTCGCCACTGAAAAACTTGACAAGTAACAGACCTGAGAGTAAATGTGATCGTAATTGTGATCTTCAAGTTTATGCCCAGAGGCCTCAGGGTAAATAAAGCCTTGCCTTTGTTTAAATTTACATTACTCTTGTTTTTGTAGGTAATGGAAAAACTTCCTATGATGCAGTTTTCCTGAAGAAATGATTTGTAGAAATTAATAGTATAGAAGTTAAAAGTTAAGTTATTAAATGAAATTATTTAATAATTTTAAATGAATTAATGTAAACTTAGATGAGTTAAATATTTTAAAAAAATATTTAATTATTAAATTAAAAATGTAGAAATTAATAGTTAAAGCCATGCTAACGCTAGTTAGATATTTAATGATGCTTGTTTTGAGTGTTTATCTGGTAAACTTGAATCAGCTAGATAAGCACTCCTTAAGTAAGGCATGAATAAGTTGTAATAATTACACCAATTATGTGCCGTATTCTACAGTAATGTGTTGGTGCAAGAATTTTGTTATATGCAGAATTTTCCCGGAAATGCCCAGGAAAATCTCTGAGATTATTCTGTGAAAATACAAGCTTGGATTGGGGGAGGGGGGAGGATGATAAACAGTGCTGTTGGTAAACAGTAGTTGATGAGAAGAATTATTGATCAGGAAGAGCTAAATGGGCAAAAGCACCACCACCACCACCACCACCACCACCTCCACCTCCACTACCACCACCACTACTACTACTACTGTTCATCAACTTGACATGAGCACCTGTACTTTAAATGTTTGCAGCCGTCTTTTCTGCTCAACAGTGGAGGACAGTAGAATTGCCAGTTAATAAGACCATCCAAGCAAACATCTTAGCAGTCATGAACCCAAACTTGTTCTATGCTTTGCCAAGTGAGATACCAGGTAAGAAACCAAAATTTGAGATGTCTCTTATTTTTTAACACTAACAGGGAACACACTTAGCTTGAACCTCCTTAGGGAGAAGAAGGTAGGCGGAGGAAAAGTGATACTGTTTGTTTTATTCATCACTTTCAGGAAGAATTAGTTAAAATTACTGAAGGCACGGTTGATATGTAGCAACCCAACCAGCAGGGAATCCCTTGTAGTCAGCAAAAGTTTAGCCTGATCTTCTTAAAGCAAAAAAGTGTCCCCTTGTTACAAGCTGTTTTTTAAAAACACACATTCTCAAAAACTGTCTATTGCTGGTGGAGAAAATGTATGTTCTCTATATTGAGAGGTACTTTTTTTTTTTTTTAATTGTATTATTTTTTGTGTGTACTGTCAAATCAGATCTGACTGGGACCAGAGGAGATTGTACTTCCTCCTTCAGCAGAGCATCTGGTAGATTTGAACCACATACATCTGGGATTGCAGTGCAGCTTCTTGCCACTAGGCCACCAGAGCTCCTTGAGATGTACTTATGAGCTGGCCTACTATCATTTAAGAGAATTTTAACTCAGCTGTTCTGTACGTTTTGAAAGATGGCAGATAGCTTTTCTAATTGGACCTTAATCAATAGTGTTATATATTATGGATATAGAAAGACATAATTTAGCTGTAGCCATAATCATGAAGAAAAAGAACTTCTAAAAGTTGACTTTTGGTTTCCTTTTTTTGCTTTATAAAAAACTTCAGTGCACTCTAGTTAATCCCGGTAGAATCAGAAAATGGGTTTATGCAAGTTGAGTGTACATAAAATTAATTCAGTGCTTCCAGGCTGAAAATTTACTTGTGTTTCAAATGGTTAAACCTGGAATTACACTGATAATCAAGAACTGCTGTAAAACTTGTGTTACAAATGAGATTTATTTTTTTTATCTTAGAAACTACGTGGGATGATGGCTAGAAATTACAGTGGAGGAGAACTTTACTCTGTGTCATTAAATACAACACAATGTAGAAAACCAGAAATCTGTTTTAAGAGTAGAGCTGGGTGGGTTTCACGGGGAACATGCTTTTGTATCTCCCTGGATCAGGACGGAAGTGCACATTTCCCAGGGACTTCCTCTATCCCTTTCCTACTGCTGCATCCTGGCACAAAGGATAACCAGTAGTGATATTAGTATGTGGGTGTTTTGTTTTTTTAATTTAAATGTTTGTTGGTTTATGTTTGGTCTCTTTTTTTTTTTTTTTTTTGTAGATAAGTGTTTTTTTATTAAGTGGACTGAACATTTCTATGATATACTGTTGTAAAGAGTATTGGAAAGTTCTTAAAAGAAAATGCTGCTTTTCTGTGTTTTAGAAGACCAGGAGAAGTTCTGTGTACTGACAGCTGAACTGGTGGAATATTGCAGAGCTCAGAGGAGCCCGCTGAACTATACTCCTCGAGTCGGAGATGCATGTTGTGCCAGATACACAAGTAAGGTTCCTTTCTCCTCGAGGTAACACACTGGCCTGTTGTCTTTCACATGAGATTTTGTAGACTTCCTTTTAAGGCTTGTTTCTTAGGATTAGATAGAGAAGTTGGAAAAGGTACAGTTAAAAAAAAAAGGTACAGTTGTGGTTTCCTTAGGTTGCTGTCTTTGACTTTTCCCCCGTTTTCTTGGCTGTTGGTTAGATGACCTGCTGAGTGCTGTCAAGTCATCGCAGCCCAGGGACCTGTAGATCTGAGCCCTGCCTATCTTGTACCCTCCTCACAATCTCTGACGTGACCAAGTCAGCTGTTTGGGTCACTGTGCCAGTCTGTCATTTTGTGGATCTTTCTCTCACTGACCTTTCACCTTTCCCTTAACGTTTTTCTGGGGACTAGTCCTTCCTGGCAATATGTCCAGAGTATGTGACTATGCCAGAAGTTTGACCATCTTGGTTTCTGAGGCGCACCCCGGTTGCACTTCTTCTAAAATAGATATGTCCTGTTGGAAAACCATGAGATGTTCAGTACTCTTCTCCAGTAACACAACTTAAAGGCATCAGTTCTTTTTCTGTCATCCTTATTCATTGTCCAACTTTCAGAGACATAAGAAGCAATTGAAAATACCATAGCTTGGATCAGGCACACTCTATTTAGTCTTTTAACTGACTTGGGTCTTTAGTACTTTGGAGAGACCCTTGATGAAAGAATCTGCTGATGTAACACCGTAAGTTGTTGACCTCCAGGACCCTGGGTGTTGATTAGGTGCCCCACGCAGTGCGATGAAGAAGTCATTGACAACTTGTCCTCCATTCATCATGTTTCCTTTAGTCCAGTAGTTAGATTTAGGCAAGGATACACATGCCCTTTGGTTCCTGAATGTGGAAATCTGCCAGTACTTATAGACAGCTCTAGGTAATTGGTACTCTGTTATGCTGGATCCATAATGTCATCTTTAAATATGGTAGGAATTAAAAGTTCTTTCTAATGCTGAACAAAATTTTTTAAATCCACCAGAACAACTATAGTCCGTTTTGTTAAAGTAGGTGATGGTGTTTTGTGTTCATGAGTTGGATTTAATTCCTAGTGAATTGCTTAGAGAATCAGACTCGATCAAGTGGTGGTATTTGGTGTCCTTGAATTGCCCAGTGCTCTACCCTGTCCTCACAGTCATGGTCATTGCAATGTTTGAGCCCTTCACCGCAGCTGCTGTTAGTCCATCTCATTTAGGGTCTTCCTCTTTTATAATGAACTTCTGCGTCACCAAGCATGATTTTGTTTTTAATTTATTTTATTTTATTATTTTGTGTGTATGCACCGTCAAATCAGATCTGACTGGTACAGGAGGAGACTGTCCCTCCTTCTTCCAGCTGAGCATCTGGTGGATTTGAACTGTTTGCCTCTGGGATTGCAGTGCAGCTTCTTGCCACTAGGCCACCAGAGCTCCCTTCAAGCATGTTTTTTCTGCTCCAAGGAAATTATTTTTCTGGTTCCTTCTGATAACGTGTCCTAAGTACATGGCATAAAGACTTGCTGTCTGATTCCTGAGGAGATTCTAGCTGTAAGTTCTTCCAAGACACATTATTTCGTGCCTCTGGCAGTCTGTGATATTTTTAGTATTCTAAGCTACATCATGATTGAAGGACATCACTCCTCCTTAGGTTTTCTTTATTCCTTATCTAACTTTTACACCCAAATGGGTCAATCCCAAGTTTGGTGGAGCACTTTAATCCTTTTGTACTGGAAAGAAGTCTTTCTTTTGCAAATTTTTCCAATGCATCATGTCATTAGATTTTTTTCAATTGTTTCTGTGGGCAATGATTATGGATTTAAGTAAAGTGAAATCTTGGACAATTTCATTTATCATTATGTTGCTCATTGGCTGTGAGGATTTTTTTTTTTTATGTTGAGCTAGAGTGATAATTCATCTTGAGTAAAGGCTGCAGTCTGAGTACACTTTAGCCACTTGCCCACTGTTTATTATTTCATATTGACAAATTTCTTTGGCTGAGAATAAATAACATTTGTAGGGGTTATTCTTGGGGAGATACTTTTGGTCACCACATTAATCTCTCCAAAGTGCTGAAGGCCAACCAAGTCAGTTTAAAGATTAAATATAAAATGCCCGTTGTATTTTTAGTAGCTTTCTATATGAATCTGAAAGTTGGACAGTGAATAAGGATGACAGAAGAACTGATGCCCTAAGTTGTGGTACTGGAGAAGAGTATCGGATATCCCACCAACTTCCAACAGGATGAACAAGGCATTTCGGGTGAATTTCCAGGAGTGGGATTCCTAAATCACAGGGTGCCTATTACTTTTGAAAGTTTAAAAGTGTGGTATTCTCTGGGCATCTTAACAGAAGGGTTCCTGTGTGCTAGGAGCTGGTCACCAGGTTGCTTTCATTGCTCTGTTGATAACAGTGGGTGTTAAAATGCTTTGGGTATGTACCCCAAATAAAGTTTTTATTATTCATAAAGTTTACAATTACAACATTCATGTTTAGATTTTGTGTAGATAATGTCTAGATCTGCATTTTCTCTCCTTTTCCTAATTTTTTATTAGAGAAGTATTCTGTATGGGTGTTACATAAATGTTTTCCTACCTGGGCAAGTATCAGCACAATGACTACATTTCTCTGTTACATTTTTTCCCCCTGGTTCATATTCTATACGTTTTCACTCATTAACCTAAGTTCTGTACACATCTGTAAATGCGCAGAGTCCTACACATATGGTGTCCTGTGCCAGTCTGTGTCATTCTGTACACGTCTTCTGATTTCTGACCTGCGCCGGTGTGGACGGTGACACAGAGCTGTCATCGGGACACTGCAGGCCCAGCAGTGTGGCCGTCTCTGGTGCCTGGGTATCTCGAAGTCAGAACTAACTTTGCAGCACTTAGCAACAGCAGTTCTTACTTTGTTTGGCTAGGTTTTTGGTAGGATTTAAAAGAAAGTAGAGTGCATTTGTATTTAATCTGGACTACTACTCTTTTTTAAAAAAAAACCCACACCACAAAAACGAATTGCTCCTTATTTTGTTTTCCCTTTGTTTGGCTTACTGGTTGTCTAGTACCTCATAACTAGTTTCCCTTCCCACACCTCTCCCCTTAGTACCACACAATATTTGTGTGGCTTTTCCTTGGCCTTTGTAAATCAGTGCGCTCACGATAGTATCCTCTTTTGTCTGACTTATTTCACAAAGTACAATACCCTGTATTGTACAAAGTACATCTGTGTGATGCAGTGATTTGTGGATTCTTTATTACTCTTAACTGCTTTAATGATGTCTGGTATTCCATTGTACACGTGAACCGTAGTTTTATTGATCTGTTCATCGGTTGATTGGCCCTTGGCTTGTTCCCATCTCTCTACTTTTATAAATAATGCCACATTGAGCTTGGGTGTGCATATAGCTGGTTGTGTCCTTGTCATGAATATTTTAAGTGGTCTTAACAGAATGATTGTCACTGTACCTTCTTAACTGAGCCCCTCTGTTTTCAGGTGATGATCTGTGGTACCGAGCCATTGTTCTGGAGACTTCTGATATGACAGTGAGAGTGCTGTATGCGGACTATGGGAACATGGAAACTCTGCCCTTGTCTAGGGTACAGCCTATCACCGCCCCGCACCTGGAGCTTCCTTTCCCGATCATCAGGTGTTCCCTGGAAGGTAGACGGTTCACTCACGTTCTAGCTTGTCTGGGTTTTGGTTGGTTTGTGGGCTCCCCACCCCCTTTCTTTGTTTTTTTTTTATCACTGTAAATGAATCCTTTGGGCGTGTGTGTATGGATTGGCTTCACAACGTCAGGCTTCACAGATTGCCTCTTACGCTGAGCTGGCAACACTAGTTGGAGGGTCAGGATGTGAACCAAGTCATCAGAGCCCCGATGTGAGGGCGTCCCAGCTGGCCACATCTTGCTCTCTAACCCTGGGACAGGGCCGTTCTTCAGAGCTCCTTCCAGCTCTGCCTCAGAAGACCCAGCAGAGCAGAGGAGAACTTCCCATAGGGCTTCCAAGGCTGTAAATCGTCACCGAACCACACTGCTCCATCTTCCAGGGAGCGGGTAGAGGATTTGAACTACCGATCTTAAGGTTAGATGCCAATCATGTTAACCACTCTACCACCAGTGATCTCACTTTAAAGGACTGAAAACAGTACCCGTCTGCCAGGAAGTTGGTTGGGACTTCGGACAGAACTCTGTGTGTCGCTCAGAGCTGTGCTCTGTGCTTTCAGAACCAAATCGCCAGAAACCCTTCCAAAGTACCCATGGATGGATTTGAACTGCTGACCTCACATTACTCAGACACTCCCTTAGAGATTCGAGACATTAAAATGGCATGCTTCTTGTTAGCTTGGCGTGCATGGCTAAATGTATTTCTGGTATACGGTGAATTTTTTTAAATACTAGTTAATTTACAAAATTCAAATACCAGATCCTTTTTCACACCAGATCCTTCCCATTTCCCTCACACCCCCCATCAAATTGTACAACCCCATGATTAATCTGCCCTGTCCCCCCTCACCCGTCTGCTTCCACTCACCCCCCACCCCTCCGCCTTGGATCCTCATACTCATGCTACAAGAATGGTTCTGTAACTGCTGAAAGAGCGTTTTTACAGTTTGTCTTGACCTCTTCTCCCAGAGATGCTAATAGATAATTTCACACTGCTCGCTTCATTGCCTTTGCTTTGATTCTTTTTTTTTTTATATATAGAGCAGAGAGCGTGAAAAACGGGGGGCCAACAGTTCCCATGACTGAAGGCCCCGAGCCATGCTTCTCTGAGTATTTATACAAAAAAACAAGGAAGTACAAAACAAAGGATAATGGTGAAATCTTTTACAGATAAGGCCCCAAGTTCCTCTTTATGTTAATCTCAAGAGGGAGGGATTCATTTAATAAAAACTAAGAACAATGTTGACTCCTAGGGAACTCCCTAGTGTCACAAGGTGACCTTTTGCTTGTATTAAGCCTCCCTCATTTCCCGATACAGCATTTGGTCTACTATTATTAAATTTGATACTCGGCTTCCCTCATTTCCCGCTCTTTTGTTTAAATCATAATTTTGTGATCATCAAGATGAGTATAATTTTTCTTCTTCAGGATTCATTCTTGCTTGTATCTAATCAAACAAATATAAGAAAGCAAATATGAGAAAACAAAATAAGTTCACAAAAACACTTCCAATAAAGCAGCATTCCTTGAGGATCAGCTTCCATTGTCATGTTGCCGTAGTCCCCATCAAAGCCAGTTCTGATTAATCTCCTTTGTCTGTGCGTCCTTTGCCATTCCCTGTCACTCCTCCCTGAGAGAGATTTGACCCTGATTCATGAGGAAAATGGGGCGGTGGACTCTCTTAGCTACTTCCTGCTGAAAAGGGACGTTGTAGGTTTCAGGGTGAAGATCTTCTCTCACTACTCTGAGGGGCCCTTTGGCAGTAGGAAACACATATACTTTTGAAGAGATTGATTTTGGAATTTAAATGCACTGTTATCAGTTGTGCTTAGGGATACATGTTCGTATCTTTGAAGATGCATCATGGAACTGCTGCAGTCTAGAAGACATAAATTTAACTAACAAGTTAAAAGTACATAGTCAACAATGAAAAGCAATAATATTCCAAATAGAGATTCTAACAGTGACACAAATCAAGTTACAGAGGGAAGATAATCCTTAAAATAAATCTTATTGGCTGGCACTTTGTCTGTTATAGTGAAAGGGCTAGGAACCACATGATGTAGAGGCATAACTATGTCATTTATTGTCCTTAAGACCTGGACCAAATTCCATTTACTATTGCATTATTTTACAGCTAGGAAGGCCACATGCAAGGCAGAGGTGAAGTAAGGAACTGCTTATGAGGTTTTCCGTCATTTCCAACAACTAAGGAATAGCAGGAAGAGATGGATCTGAGAAGGCTTTAATTCCGAATATGGGCTCGTGTGTCCAGCGGAAAACAGATATTCTTACCAGGAAGTTAATGCTCACCCATAGCTCTTCTGGGAGGATCTGAATCGTTGAAGTGTCCTTCGTTGTTTCCAGCTAAGAGCTGGGGTCTGTCAGCCATGCAGACCTGATGTGGGCTGTCCTTGGCCAAGTGTCTTTCAGATCCACACTTAAAGCAAGTGAGTGGGAGCTTCCTCTCTACTCCCTTGCCTATCTGTGGCTCTTGTCTGTGACACTGTTTACTGAAGTGGCCCAGCTTTCCACAGTAGAAGCAATTCTGACCGCCTTTAATACCTTTGGGTGGCACTGTTTATGAGTAAGACTTCCTTTTCCTGACATAGGCCCTAAACTGGCAGCAATAGCTGCTCCAATAATTTTGGCCATTCTCTGATCTTTTCTCTTCCCTCTAGCTCCCAGTTGTTAAAAGAAGGAAAAATTTAAATATACTAGAGAGATATATTATTACCCAAAACTTTATAAAGCCAATGAACAATTTTTAACAAGAGAGTATTAAAACATATGCCCAGTAGCTAGTATTATCTGCCATTCTGCAGCTTCGTCCTCGTCAAAGTGTGGCCTCTTTTGACTCATCTCGGGGTTTCACGTTTCTGGAGGGCACCCACAGCAGTTCTGATCCTGTGGATATATAAGCAAATCCTCGCCCCCACCTAATAACAAATCCCTTTTTCCATTCATTAGTTACAGGTTCCATATAATATATAGACTGATTCAATTCTTTAGAGGATTGTAATACCCAGTGTCTTTCAGCTGGAGTTGCTCTTTTTTCATTAGCATTTTAAAAATTTAAAGTAAATAAGGCTTTTTGTAAGAGAGTTCGAGGAGATGATATTCGTCCCATTGTATCTCCCCCCTTCTGTTTTTTCAACATAGTTTGTAATGTTAAATTAGCCCTTTTTTTATAACTTGTCCTGCAATAACATAATAATAGCAGCATATAATTCAGCCTGTTGATCAGAAGTCAGTTTTATAACCTGCATAACCCATCTTATCTGCTTGCAAAGGTGAAGTTTTTACTTTCACTAATAGTATCCAGTGAGTCCCTTTACCTGATTTCCTTTTTTATTACAAACATTGCAAAGTTTCAAGGGCTAGTGATTTAATATGGCCTGTTAAATATTGTGAAAACTTCTAATTTCTCTCTAGTAAGTGGCCACTACCCCACCCAAATTGGTTTTTTCTGTTAGCCAAGTTAAGGGGAGAGCATGAGGAGCAGTGGCCCTCATTATAAATTTGTATATCTCAATCCTTTTCTTGAAAGATTATATTTAGATTTTTGAAAACTAACAATCCCCTGTTTCCTTTTATTCAGCATCTTATTTACTCCCCACTTGTCAAAGATCTACATTCATTACTCTGATGATATCCTTTTCCACATTTTCTACAAAGTCCTGAAGGCATGAGTTTTTTACTCTCCTTTCTTTCTGACAGTCTCTTTTCAAATGTCCTGATTTCCACAATTGTAACATTAAGTTTGGGACAAATT